CGCGATTCAAACTCAGCAACCTATGCTCTCGTTACAGAGAATTCTAATCTTAAGAAAACCATCGCTGAATTGGAAGAAAAAGTGCTAAACTTAGAGATGGATCTGTCGGAGGCTCGAACTACCAACAGACTTAAAGAACTGGACCTTGCAGCTGCCTCCGTGCCAGCTGGCCTAGACTACAAACTTCTCTACGAGACTGAGCTCAAAGAAAACGATCATCTTAAATGGAAACTAAATACCCTTAACGGAGAACTAAGTAGAATCTCCGGAATAGCCACATCTAATAACGTATCTCGTGTTGCGCCAGATAGGGCTACAGCCGGCTTCATGCCAACCAACAGAGTCGAAAGACGTGCTAACAGAGATCATAACCTAGATTCTAATATACAAAATCAACCAAGAGTCGCCAACCTCGCGCCCGCGGCCCCAGTGTCAAGACCTAGTAATCGCTTAGACTCGAGGAGACCTTCAGCTACAACTCATTCAACTAATACTCTTAAACAGCAGCAACACAAACAACCGAAATATATCATAGATAAGGCCCTTCCAGGCAAGCCTCTGCCAGTGGATGGAACTTGCTTCCTTGTACAACACAATGATCCAGAGAAAACAAATGTACAGCTCATAGATGAGCTCAAAAACAAAATATCACCCAAGAGCGTATCAGCTCAAGTTGTGGCCATCTTCCGGCTGTCTGCTGCCCGTGCTGGCATTATCTGTGCCACAGCCGAGCAAGCAGAGAGGCTGTTAACAGAGATTGGGAAAATTACCGATTTTAAAGTAACTAGAATGACCAAGAGAAGACCGCTCATCAGAATCTCGAGAATTCCCACCAGCTACAGTTACACCAATTTCATCAGCGAAGTGTTAGAGCTGAATGCTCAATACCCAGAAATCGCCAACATGAAGGAAGCTTTCAAACGAAACATCGAGGGAGACACGTATCATTATGATGCTATTGTAGAATGTGAACCAGAGTTCTACGGCCAGCTAATTGCCAGAGGCTACCTACAAATGGAATACTCAAGAGTTAGGGTATTTAGATACTCTAACTTTAAACAGTGTTACAGGTGTCAGGGATATGGACACACAACCAGCAAGTGTAAATTGGAACAAGAGAAGGAAGTCTGCGGATTCTGTGCTGGCGAGCACCGATCCAAAGGCTGTGAAAATAAGCGTAACAAAGCTGCTCATCAGTGCATTAATTGTATTAAGTACAACAAAGGGGTAATTAATAGAAACTACAAGCTGGATGTTAATCACCACACGCTGTCCAATAAATGCAAGGTGCTAGCCCGCATGAAGCTGGTAGCCAATCAGATGACTGACCTCCCTTCAAGAAATTAAAATTCGATAGCCAACTTTTAACCTCTGCAATACAGTTCTTGCAAGCAAATGTAGGAAGATCTTACTCCTGCTACTCAGCCATCATCAATAATGCCATTCAATTCAAAACAGACATCATTTTAATCCAAGAACCTCCCCCAGTCTTTTTAATAAGGCAAAGGGACGGCATCAGATACTTTTATAAAAACCATTCATCACCGCAGGATATTACAGCCCTAACCATTATTCTTAACCCCAAGATATCCGCAACCCTTTCCAGTTTTACCAATAATAACACGGTCATTCTCACCCTGACTGCCAGCCAGCACCAAATCATAAACATTTACTGCAAGCCGAAAGGTAACCTTCAACAAGATCTCATGCTTATAAAACCCATCATCAGTGAATTTTCAATAATTGCTGGCGACTTTAATGCCAGATCTGTTTCATGGATGGATAAAGTTACAAATAACAGAGGCAAAATTCTCTCAAAATTCATCGATGAAATGAATCTCATGGTTAGCTTCTCCAGAGACTCTCCATCTTTCGCTGTTATTCGAAACAACAAAAAATTCTCAAGTAATATCGACTTGACACTCTGCACGCCAGCAACCTTGGATATTTTCTCCAACTGGCAACTCGCCAGTGACATTGCCTCGGACCATTCACCCATTATGTTTACACTAACCCCCTTGGAGATACCTGTATCTCGCATGGAATCTACACGTGTAAACTGGATTCTCAACAAGGTTAACTGGTCAGTTTTTGAGCTAGTTACCAGCAGTACGATTCAGCCCATTGAGAAACCATCAATTGACTCTGAACTGTTGAAAAATACACAAGTCATCGACCTGTGGTTAACCAATCTCTTCGAAAATATCTCTGCTGGCTTGTACGCAGCTGGCGGGAGGCAATCGAGCAATAAACTTCTGAAACCATTTCCATGGTGGACGGATGAAATCGAAGCAGCTCAGAAAACATTAACGATAGCAAAACGCCGGCGAAGAAACTGTTCTCCAAGATCAGACAAACACTTCCTAAATTGGGTTTCTAACCTAAATGAGAAACTTAAGCATCTTATCAGCAATGCTCGCAGAGCTTTCTGGAGTAATTTCTTTAAGGATGTCAAGTCAAGTGAAATATGGTCAACATACTACAAGGTCATAAAGTCCAGAAGTAAAGCATCTCTTTCTCATAAAGTCACACATAATGGCAAAGACATTACCGGAGATGAGAACTTAGCAAAGTTCTTCATCGAATTCTTCTTTGGCAACGACTCGACCCAGCAACCCACCAGCAACCAGCGACTTGAGCGCCAACATCTCAGCAGTGATCAGCTATTCAACATGCAAGAAATTAAACACTGTATATCTACGTTTGGCTCCAAAAAAGCCCCTGGCATAGATGGAATCGGAATGGAGATTATTAAGGAATTAAGCGACGGCGTGTTGGAATCAATCTGTAGCTGTTTTAATCTTTGTTTGGAAATATCATATTTCCCAAAAGTCTTCAAAGAGTCACTAACAGTACTCATACCCAAACCTGGAGTTGATAGCAACTCGCCGAAATCTTGCAGACCTATTGGTCTTTTACCCTGCCTTGGCAAAGTGTTTGAGAAACTAGTTCTACTAAAGATTGACAGCTGGCTAAATGTAACCATTGATCCGAATCAATTTGGTTTTGTCAAAGGGAAATCAACAATCAGTGCACTTTCCGCCATTAAAGAAACTATCTCTACCATCCATAAAGACAAAGCGGCCTGTTTACTTGTCTCATTCGACATTCAGGGAGCATTTGACTCTGTCAAATGGAAAGATATTCTTTCAATCTTAAAGCAGAGAAACTGTCCAGCTGCTTTTATGAACCTTATTAGATCTTACCTGTCAGATAGAAAAACACTTCTAGCTTATGGTAATTCTTTCGCCAGCATTATCAACTCCCGTGGCACTGTGCAAGGCTCCTGTTTGGGACCCACGTTATGGAATTTGGTTATCAATCAATATTTGCTGGCTACTCGCCAGAAAGATGTCAAAGTCATGGTTTATGCTGATGACATTACTCTGCTGGCTAAATTCAATCGCTCTAACTATGAACAATGCCTAAATAATCTAAACAAAGAACTGGAACAGATAGAACTATGGTCACGCAATTATTCTCTAAATTTTTCAACGAGCAAGACACATGCCCTCTGGCTGGCTGGCCGACAGAAAGCCATTCTAAGACCTGATGTTAAGCTGTTCGATGTCTCAATTTCTTATGTGAACTCCGTGAAACTTCTAGGACTCCACATAGATGATAGGCTAAATTGGACAATTCACATTGACAGGACCATTTCCAAAGTAAACAAGTTCTTATTCAATTCAAAGCAATCCCTGGGCTGGCCAAAGCCTAGACTGTCTCTCCTTCGACGCATTCATGATGCAGTTATTCTTCCACGAATAACCTATGCTGCTGAGATTTTTGCCGGCGATCTAACCGCAAATCTGCTGAGACGTCTTAGAGGTTTACATAGGAAAGTTCTTCTGTGTATCTCAGGGGCCTATCGAACCACTGCTTATACAAGTCTTTGCTGCTTGTGTGATATAAATCCGATACAGTTTGTCCTAACGAACAAATTCGATCACTTCTCAGCTCTAAACAAGAAATCTCAAATTACCAAGATACCATCAGACAGAGAAATCGCCAGCAAATTGCCTTCTTCCTATTCGATCTATTCTCCGAATATGGATCAACACATTGGATGCAAAATAAGAACCGATAAAGAATTCATCGCCGCTATGGAATCATCAATAGGTATTAAGTGTTTTACCGATGGAAGCAAAACTGACGAAGGTGTTGGATATGGGTCTGTCTTTTTCAACGAAAAAGCTACAATCATCGCTGAGATTATCGAGCCTCTTTATGAATATGCCACCATTTTCCAGGCCGAGTGTTTAGCCATTATAAAGTCAATTGAAAAAGCAGTTAAAGACAAGAAAATCGCCGGCAAATCGCTGGATATTTACACAGACAGCGAAAGTGTCTATCATCTTCTATCCTCAACTTATATGGTTAATCCACTAGTTGAAGAAATTAAAAGTCTTCTCTGTCGCACTGCGAGCTCTACTAAGGTTCATTGGATAAAGGCTCACAACAACTTCACCGGCAATGAATATGCTGATTACTTAGCCAAAAGAGCTACAACGACCCATAAAAGCATTAAGTTTGATCAAGTTCCTAGAGCGACTATCAAACGAATCTGCCAATATCAAAGTAATCATCAGTCAGCCAGCTGGCTGCTGGAAAATCGCTCAACAAATCTACAAATCAATCTACCTCTTAAATGGAATAAGAACCCCTACGAGCTCGATATTGATAAACAAAGCTTTTGGCTCCTCTCCGGTCATGGTCCATTTCGCCATTACCTTCATCGCTTCAAAATAGCTGCTGACCCAAGTTGTCTCTGCGGCCACAATAAAGCTGATGCCAAGCATTACCTCACAGAATGTGACTCAACTCGCAGTATTAGGGCTGAATTAACTTCGACAATGAATAAGGAAGAGAATCAATTTACTCAATGTATAGCAAAATTGCTAGCGGCGGGCCAAGCAAATCTAGTCAACACAACTAGCCAGCGGATTATACAACAATGTTTTAGAATCAATCAAGAAAATGGCGAATCAACTGAGCGATGAAAAGAAAGGTTTTGAATCAGCTGACCATAAATCACTCTCTAGTCAAAGATCCATTCAACTTATGGTAACAAATGTCAACACCAACGTCATCTACAATGCTAAGTACAAATATACAAATTATAATAATACAAGCGCTGAAACAATAACAAACCTGACCACCAGCTGGCGTACAATCTTCCTGCCTGCACTGCAGCGGCGCGGCGGCTCCCTCTGCGCACTGAGTCGAGTCAAACATGCATTAGAGTCAGTCTTATTTAGACCTTCTCACATTGCACTTTATAACTGCTTAGATCTCATTTTAGTGTCTTCTTGCGATAAACTCTTTCATCACAATCAAATTAGTGAATCTATTTGTTATTTACAATCCTACGCTTTTAATTTAGTGAAATTCTCCATTAAACTACCTTTTACCTGCCCTTTCATACTCGATCTTTCTCATTGCAACTGTGAAACTGCTGACTGTTACCTTGCCCGCTTCCTAGTAGCAAATCTTCATTTCCTTATCTCTTCAAATAAAATCGAGTTTATAGTGAAGTTTCACTCCCTTACTATGGATCAATCTTTACCTGGTAAATTCATGGCAGGTGATTCTGCACCAAGTAGCCAAGATTCCAGTAAGAGTGTAGATGTAGAATTGGCAACTGAACCAATCTCTTCCGAAACAAACAACAATTTCACTGTTCCGTTAACACCTCCACCGAAAGCATCTTGCTCATCAGAAAGCGGAGAACCAACAGCCACAAGCCAGCCAGCAATACCCTTGCAACTCAGCACCTTGTCAGCACCAATCAGTTGTCCCCCCAGCGAGAAAGCCAACAGCAAAGTGCCTGATTCATCTCTATGGGTAGAAGCAAAGTCTTCCTCTAACTCAATCGTTTCAACTCAGCCAACCATAAACACTTTAAGTCAAGAAACTTTCTCCAGCGAGCAAACTACTGAGGATCAATCTGAATCTTCATCAGAAATTGCTTTGAATACTGGCGAAAACTCGGTGAACCTCTCTCTTTCTCAGAATTCAAAAGCTGAACTAGAAGAAACACTTTGTGAAACCAGTATTCCTCCGGCCGAAGAAACAACAACCTCGCCAACTGCCAGCAACATTCAAGCGACTGAATACATAGTGTTTGAAACTCGACCGATCGATCAAGATATTTCAGCAATGGAATCTCTTCTTCGTAAAGTGATAAAAGAGGAACTCAATGAAAGCAGAAACGCTTGTCTTGCAAATAAAACCTCTGGTAACTCAACTTCGGTTCAAACTGATGCAGTTGATCTTATTTCCAGTGGTGGTGGTGGTGAAGACTTCACACCAATGGACCTGCTGGCTGCTCACATTCCACCAGCTCTTAAATCTTCTTTTAAAGATATGAGGAAATTACCACTCTCCCTCGCTCGCTCAGCCAAAGCTCTTTGTCAACTACTGGAGTCTAAGCAAGATGAAACGAACACAGTAGAAAAGCAGATAAGAAATGAGATTCTTATTCAAACTGATTGGCTAGAGAAAGCTTTTGCCTGCCAGAAGACCAGCTGGCTTACCTCACCTGATGTTGACTCTTCATCAACAACAAAGTTTGACTTTACTGTGGATGATTTAATCTCACCTTCAATGTGGAGACTAACTGCTGGATCTCAGCGATCCGCGGGCAAAGAACCAAGTCCCGCTCAAGATGCTGCTGTTAATCTTTCTCAATCAACTACAACCAGATCTTCTGCTATTCTCTCTGGTGTTTCTGGTATCTTTGGTGGTCCGAGCACTTCGAGAGGTAATACCAGGAAAAGAAAACAACCCGCCAACAAACCTGTTGTTAGTGATTCGGAAAGCTCAACTGACGGGCCTGATAATGAAGAGAAGGACCCTTCCTTTGAAGTGGATGCTGGCGATATGTCAGACACCGAGGAAACTCAGCAACCTGCAGTCGATCATCCGACAGCAGCTGATAATCTTGCTGATCGAACTGGTGAAGACTCAGATCTACCTGGTGAGGATGGAGAAGAGGATGAACCAGAACCACCAGCCAAGAAATCTTGTAATAAAAACTCAGCCGAGTGGGTCACTGTCTCCAAAGAGAAATCAACCAGAAAGGAGCAATACGTTGATTTAAGACGTTGCCTTTACTACAAGTACTGTCACTATTCCGAGAAGTCATCATCAGGCAGCAATTTGCCAGCGCATTACGCCAATTACCACTCGGAAGAGGAAAGAAAGGCTGCTGATAAAACCAAAAGACCTTACAAAGATCGCACCGTCTCCTTCTTTGATTATTCTGAGCTCAAGCAAAGGTGGACTAAGACTCATCTACTTGCCAGGAAGATAAGAAGTTCCTATTCAGACAAGGACAAAGTGGCCAAGGAAATAAAGAAACTCTCCATATACATTGCCAGCATCTCGCTGGAAGAAGTGGAAACCATCAAATATCCTTTATGTAAAAAGTTCTACACGAAAGAAACTGGAAAATAATCAATTCAATGAACAGCAAAATGCCAGCAATTCAACATATCCCTAACCTGTCAAATCTCTCTCACACCTCGAATCCCATATTTTTGTATTCATTTACTATTTCCCAATCAATTCCCATTCTAACCAAAGAATATTTTGCTAATTGACCAAATTAAATCTTTAGCTTTGTAACGGCAAATCATCAGCTTGCTCTTTGACTCAGTGCGTGCGAGGGACCGCTAACTTGCTGCATTGCGGACAACTAGTCATGCCTTAAATATAATTTCTGTAATGCCATCGAAATCATTTGCTGAGAGTTCCTCTATCGAGCTGCTGGAATTTCGCCAGCATCTTCTCAGCGTAACTCTCTGTAGTCATGCGTCAGAAATTTTTCTCTTCTGAAAATATTCTCTTTTATATCCTACACGTTAACGTAGACTCTGAATTTAGAACATCCTAAATACTAATCATTATATCTCCACTAACCCATTAAAAATCAATTGTGAAATTTGCTATCAAATGGATGTAAATGAGGCCGCAACCGTGCTGATGGACTTATCATCGCGCCAGCAAAATGTCTTGGATCAAGAGACATTAATGGTTGAAAGTAACCAAGAGACTCTCGCTGAAGTTGAAGTGCCAACATCAACTCAAGACGAAGAGCTCTGCTCAGCTATTAAGAAAGTCATCGTACCATTCAAGCCATTGATGAACGAAGTTCATTCTCTGCAGCTTCAAAAACGCCCGCAACTTATTATTACTAAGGATGCATCGACTTTGGCAAGTCCGAGAATCCTGCTGGCTCAACGCGGTGGTTCAGTCATGTCTGGAATTGATACACTATCTGTTATTCTACCGGCTCGAGAGAAAAGTTTCTTTGAAGAAATTAAACGTCACTGGTGTCAGCTGATTGCAAATTGCGAGGAATATGTCAGAGTATTTGCTGGCAGAATTAGGACCAAAATGCTACATGGTGATGATCAGTCGAGAAAAGAGTATCTTGCTTTGATCTCTATGTGCGAATCAGCCAACGAAGCATCGAAATTAGTTTGCAAACAAACTGAAATACCATCAATTCGCAATCTACTTCAAGACCATGCCACCCGCCAAATAACAACTTCAACATCCAAGATCTCAATTGATCATAAATATGCCGTCAACGCTAGTTGGCCAGCATCCGATGAGCCCGCAGCCAAATCCAACAAATCTCTCTAAAAGTTTACATCCTTTCTCTATCCATTTATCAACTAAATTCATTTATTCCATCTCTTTTTCTTCTTTCATTTAACCTAATCAATCAGTAAACTGCTGAACCCAAGCAGGACTTTAGCCGACAATAAGTCGGCAAAGTCTCTGTCCGATAAACTCTCCTTAAAACCTTTGCAGAATAACTTCTCAGCAAATGATTTCACTGGCAATTTAATAAAATAATAATTCTGATTCTTATATATCAAATAAAAATTAAATGTTACCGTTATTTCTTTACCTCTCTTACAAGCTATAGCGGCCTGCGTGTCGCTAGCTTGCTCCCACATAACCCATCCTATTACTATATAAAAATATACAATCCAACAGCCAAATATGTTAACAAATCAATATTACTTTGTAAATATGTATCGTTAAAATTTCACCGCTAATTCCTAATAGCAAATTGCTATCCTTACCATAACAAGAGTTAAGCAGACAACCAGCATGTAGCCAGGCTCATGCTGGTATGTAAGGTACCCAGCAGCTAGCTGGTCACCAAGTCTGCAGCTCGTATGCAACCAGCACATATTTATTTATGTACAATCTTTTTCAGTATGTTTAAACAATAAACAGTTTTTTGCACCCCAAAAAAAAAAAAAAAAAAAAAACCTAACCTAACCAACCAAGGCGTTTTGACTCTCTGAGTGATAGCCACCTAAAATTTTGCTCCTCAATTAATTAATTAATTAAAGTGTTTAATTAAATATTTTTAATCAGTTTTTATTTTAATTATCTTTTTAAGGGTGCCTAGGCCACTTTTGTTTTTTGACCGGCCCCGAAAAAGTGACCAGTCGTCCGTCAGGACTTGTTTTTGTTTGACGTCCTATTTGCCCTCTGTGGTTAATAGGACGTTGTGAGTGAAATTTTGCCAAATGGCCACCAACAACAGCAACATTAACAAACCACCTCAGCCTCGCCTCCAGTTGAGCTTCAAAGGTTCTGGTGCGTCAGATAAAACTACTTCCGGCTCTAGAAGTGCGTCCAGTGTCTCTACAACTTCCGGTGGCGAAAATGCTAAAGCAGACGACTCGGCGACATACATGCACGACCTCGTCTGCTCTACTCTCAAAGCCTGGGAAAACGTCAGTAAAGCAGTCAAGGCTAACGCCAAATCGCCTGTTATAATTGACGCCAGAGAACAAGCAGAGGAAATTATTGTCAGCAACCTAACTGAGCTCAAAGTCAGACTGAGAAGCTTCAAAGCACCAACGGAACTAGTCACAACCAGTAGCGAGACTAGCCAAGCAGACAAGCAGAGCGACAAGACCAACAACGACCTTGTCAAGAAAATCGGTGAACTAAAGTCTGATATTGC